AAGAGGTGATTGAATTGCGTTGCGTAAGTAAGAGCATGAGTGGCGAATCCCTCAACGAAATCCTCATGACGGCATCAATGCGTGCTGTCATCGCATGAGCTTTCTGCTGCCCACGTGGTTGCCTGTGAGCTCAAACCAGCTGGGCAAGTTGAGTTAACTCCTTGCCCTGCTCTGGGTAGTCCTTGATGAACTGCAACTGAGCGCGCGAAGCGTTCTCGCTGCAAATTCGGGCGAATGCCGTCGTCAGCTTCAGCAGCTTCGCTAGATCGACTAAAGAGGTCAAAGGCACGCAGTCTTACTCACTATGTGATCGCATTTTCAAGCTCCTGGTAAGTCCTTGCGATCTTGGCAGACCTCTCAAAGAAGCCGATCGCATCTGTGATCTTGCCTTGCTGCAAGCTCAATTGCGCCAACGTGGCAATGGCGGTGTCGCAATCGGGATCCTTTTCCAAAGCTTGCCTGCACAAACGCTCAGCAGTGGGCATATCCTGCTGCCATTGGAACAATGCCAGCGCCTTGTTGATCATGGGCAGCACGTTTGAGCTACGCTCCTTGTCCTGCTCAATCGCAATCGCTCTATCGAACTGCGCGACTGCCGCCTCAAACTTTTGCTGATCCAATAACAGCTCTCCGTAATAGTTGTGGGCCTCGCTAGACCCGTTGAATACTTTGAGGAGCTTATTGAACTCGCGCATGGACGCGTCTGTCGAGTTGCTCTTGTACAAAGCAACAGCGTGCTGGACTTGGCTGAAGATGAATTTGTCGTCCAGCTGAGTGGACTTTTGATAGTCCTTGATTGCCTCTGTATATTCGCCCAAGATGAAATGCACCTGGCCACGATGATAGTAGATGTCCGGATCTTTTGCATCGGCACGAATTGCCACCTCAAAGTCGTTGAAGGCTGCGTCCTTGTCCGACAGCTCCATGTGCACGGAGGCCTTCTTGACCCACGTCTGCGCGTGATCAGGTCTCAGAGAGGTGCTCCTTTCGAGATCCTCGAGCGCTCCCGCCGCATCTCCAATGACAAATTTGAATGTTCCGCGCATGTTCAAAGCCATGGCCTCCAGCTCTTCGGTGCTGAGCTTGTGTTGTGGATCATCTTCGATTAGCGATTCGTTGAGCAGCGAAAGAGCGTGGGGGTAGTTGCGAGCGTCGATAGCGTCATATGCCAGCATCAGCTGGTTGTCAGCCATGCTCGGGACAGCAGGTAGCGCCGGGCGAGGCTTTGGTCGGAATGCTTCAAGGTAAGCAGTGACGAAAGTTGGAGAGGGAAGCTTTGGTTCTCTCGTTCTCAAAATCTCCTTTGCTTTGCTAGAAGCGATGGTCTTGAGCACTCGCTCCACCGAGTCGACAGCGCTCTGATCCGTGAAGCGCCCAAGAATACCAACCGCTGTGAAGTCGACCAGACTCTTGAACAGCATACCTCGAGCGGCCTCGCCCTCTTCGCCTTCGGCGGATGCGGCTCCACCAAGCTGTTCTTGAGCGAGAGCCCTCCTGTTGAGCGCTTTGACGTATGTGGTGTCGAGCTTGAGCGCCTCATTGCAATCGGGAATGACATCTGCTGGCCGTCCGAGATTGGAATAGCACGCAGCTCGATTGCTGAAAAACACGGCTTGAGGTGCCGCGGCAATCGCCTTGGTGTAGTGCCCAATAGCGCTTTCAAACTCTCTCTGCGAGTAAGCCTTGTTTCCAGCCACCTTTAGCTTCTGCGCAAGGTCTTTTCGGCGCTGTTGGAGCAAAAGAGGCTTCAGCAATCAGCGCATGTGTGGCGATGGCGTGCACCAAATTTGTGCTCTCACCTCTTCCGGCAATCGCTTGATCTCCTCTACTGATAATGCGAACAAATCCTCTGTGATGCGCCGAAAAAGCGCGGACAAGGATGAGCAGGCCGCTCTGCACTGCGCATTGCCAGCTCTCGCGATCCAGCTGATGCAAGGCAGTACGACATTGCTGATACTCTTTACTCGCCATCTGAAGCCTCATCCAACAATGGGCCATCCTCTCGGTCCACCGCAGACGCCTTTG